TAAAATATTAAAAATTAAAGCTAACCTATACCTTTTTATTTATTAAAATAAAAGTATTTAAAAATAACTTTATTTTAAATTTAAATAATTAAAAATAATATTAAAGGGCTATAAGTTTATTAATATATATAATATTAAATATTTAATTTAATATAGCATTTACTATCTTTAAATATAATAAGTATATAGTTAAACCTAATACTTTTTATATTAAAGCGGTAAAATAAATATTTAAATATTTTAACTTTATAATCGATTTAAAATTAATATATAAAGGAAGTAAAATTAAATTATAAAGCTTTATTAATTTAAATTAAAAAATATATAAAAAGATTTATTAATTAACTTTAAGGTATATATTTAATTTAAAGAATAATATTATTAATTAAAGTTTAAAAAGGCAATTAATAATTTTATTATCCTTATTTAAAGCTAAATTAAAAAGGTAAACTTAAACTATTAAAAAAGCTATTTAAATATAAAAACTATTAGTTAAATTAAATATTAATTTAAATAATATACTTATAATTATTTATAGTAATAATTAAAGAATAATTTTAACCTTATATAATTTATTATTATATAATAAAGGGAAATATATATTAATTTAAAATTAATAATATTAAAAATAAATTACTATTAAAGAAGTTAATTTTAAATATATTTTAACTATTAATTAAATAATAAATAGGCTAATAAAAGTATTATTAAGGCTAACTTTTAAAAAGTTTAAAAAATTATTAAGCTTAAAATAAATAATAAAGCTAAAATAGTTTATATATAAGGCTAAATAAAAAATCCTATATTAAAATTAATTTAAATTAAAATACTTTTATTGCTATATTTTCCAATAATAATAAATAATATAAAAATTATTTTTATAGTTTAAAAATATAAAATTTAAATTATTAAAAGTTAAGTTATAAAATAAATATAAGTTTAAAAAAAATTATTAAAAATAATTTAAAAAAAGTTTAAAATAAAACTATAAAGTATTTTAAAATAATATTTTAAAAAATAAAATAATAAATATTATTAATTAATTTAAATTAAATCTTTTAAATATTTATATACTTAAATATAATAAAATTAACTTTTAAAAAATACTTTTAATAATATAATAATAATAAACTATAAACCCTTTAAGGTTACTTTAAATTAGCCTTATTTATAAATAATAAGGTATATATTTACTTATATTTTATATCCTTTATTAAAACTTCCTAATATTAATAATATTTAAAATATTATAAAAGTAGTTAATATAATAATATAGTAATAAAGGCTACCTTAAAAAAGTTTTAACTAATTATAAAATTAAACAATTTAGCTATAATAGCTTTATTTATTATATCTATAATAGGCCTATTAATTAAATAAAAGGTAAAAAATAAAGTTTAATATACTTTTAATATTATTATAATAAAAAAGAAAAGTTAAAAAGGAAAATATATAATAATTTAAAATTATAACCCTTATAGTTAATTAAAAAAAGGTATAAAAGTTAAAGAAGCCCTATAAAGTTTTTAAAGGTTAATTTATAACTATTTTAAAATAAAGTTATTAAGCTTAATAATTTAATATAATATAAATTAATAGTAAAGTAGGTAGAAAAAGTATATATATTATTTTATAAAAAAAATTAAAATATAATATAAAATAGGTAATATACCCTTTTTAAAAATTTAAAACTTATAAATTATAAGCTATTTATAATTTATACCTTAATAGAAATATTAATTATTAAAAAAAGTAATTATAAAAATATATATAAATAATATAAAAATAAAAGGGAAAAAAAGAATACTTATAAGGATATTTATATTTATATAAAAATAATAGATATATAATATATTATAGCTATTATATATTATAATACTTTAATTTTAAAAGCTTTATATTATAAATAATAATTTAAAAGTAATATTAATAGGATTTTTATTTTTTATAATATCCTATTTTAAAAAATTTAATATTACTTTTATTTATTATTTTAATAATTATAAATAATTTAACTTTTAAAAAGTTTTACTTTATTTATCTTATTTTAACGGATATCCTTTAAAATATTACCCTTATACTATCCAACATAACTATTTAACTTACCTTAAAGGGAGCTACCCTTAAAAGGAAGTCGATTAAAATTTACTACATCAATTAATATAAAGATTAAAAGGGAGTATTAGAAAAGGAAGGCGGTAATACTTACGTTTTACATATTGGAATGCTAGGAATCTATATATAAAACCTTCATCTAGCCAGATAACTATATTGTAATTTAGACTTCTATATAATCTAATGGGATCACATGTACTACTCTTGACAGGCTACGCTCTCAGGCTCGGCTTCACATGCTGCCTTGTAGCCAGGATAATCAGTAGGCCACACGCCACAAGCTATAGCAGTTGCACTAGCAGATATGCTTGCTGCCTGGGTCTGATTCAACCGCACTGAACAAGGAGTTGGGGACGCCGTTGCATTCCCGATGACCGGGCACTGTTTCTGTTCCTCAGGCGATAACCCCGGAATAGGCGATACACCGGGTCTGGGTGTGTACCCCGTGATATTCAGAAGTAGTGCTGCTATAGATGCGCAAGTGTCGGGGCTCGTGGCGGCGACGAGGTCCGGCAGCTGCGTGGTGTTCTGGAGTGTGAAATATGTCGAACCGATATACTTGATAGAGGGAGTGTCGCCGTTGTAAGTGCCATTGGCATTTACATCGGCAGTGCTACAATTGTTCACGTCCAGGTACGCATAGAACAAGAATTGGCCCTCGGTGCTGTTGAGCTGGGTCGTAGCTGACACGAGATACCGCTGGTCTTCATAAGCAGGCTCCTCTGTCATGAAAATCCCTGTATCTACGAAGCTTGATGTTGATTGGTTATCCTCATTGAATATCGCCCATGACACGAACAGGCCGAATACCAAGTACTGGGATAGCCAATTGTTCTGAATAGCTATGACAAGAGGGAATGCATCGACTGGGGCATAGGTGTCGTTGCGTGGGAAGACGATGTCCACCTCTAGTGTCGTAGGATATTGGGGGGGGCCGCGTGCTGCAACAGCCGATAGCAAGCTGAAGAGCGCCGCCCAAAACAAAGAGAGTCGCGTGATGAAGGCTGACATGGTGTCTCACTGTTGGCTCTCAGGCTTGCGGTTCAAGAATTCGAATACAATCCTTGTTGAATTTCTGGCCGATGGTCAGAAGAAAAACAAAACTGAGAAAGATGAAAGCGATAAAGGAAAAACTGCGCGTCAGGGGTTTTGGCATACAGATGTAACCACTACCCCAATTTGGGGGCTGTACCTCCAGAGAACCAAATGTTAGACTTTTTAATGCTCCTACTAATAAGTTTATCGTTTAAAGGTTAAAGTATTATATCAAGTTATAATTACCTTTGTTATAATATTAAATGTTATATTGTAGTTAGAAAAACATGAAAAAAATGTTTTGGGATTTTTAAGTAAGTGGTGGGGTGGGTGAGATGGCGAGCGATGATATGGCCTAGGACCTATCAGTTTGCTTATAGGATGAATACATACTGCAATCTCGGTTGGCCACTCGAATTGACCATGAGAACGAAGCCTCCATGCAGATGAGGTCTAATAATGCTTATGCCTTGCAGCGTAGAATTATCAGTTACGCTTGTAAGCTTTTTCAATATTTCATGGCCAAAAGTTCCAACGAAAGGACTAGCCTACGGCGACGTTTCGGTCAGACTCACCGTCTACGAGTCTCTTAACATGGGAATCTATATCTGCACAAGAACCAACAGATCCCAAATGAGGAAAGAGGGCCAGCAGCTCATATGCAATCTGCACAACAACCAACAGATCCTAAGCGAGGAACAAGGAACGACAACTCGCGTAATCAGGCATCCAGTGATATTGCTTTGTTATATGACTTCCTCGACCCACACCAACTTCGCCGCAGAGCTTAGTTAAGTCAACCATAGCTGCGCAATCTAGAAAGCAACTCACCGTCACTATCTACCTCGCGCTGACCTCCACTGTCTTAGCAATTTGGGTCAATGTAGCGAAAAGGGGACCCAGAACAACACGCATGGGCAAGGCTGCAATCCCATACATTGTTTATAAGACTTCTTGCTCCTTCTCGATGAAACCCGTGATAATGATCCAATCTCTATGGCAGTTTAGATGTACAAATACAGTGCCTCAATCTCAGTATATATATAGTTTCAGTGGCCACTATGATAAGCCTGCCTTAGTCGCGATCAATACGGCTCTCGTTTATCCAGCTCCTATGGTGTGGTTTCGAGCTTTTTGTTTGGCTTTTGTGGAAAGCCTAGCAAGACTTCTCAATATTATACTAGGGTCTGCTTCGTCTACAGACCGTGGCAGAAGAGGTCCCGGTTTCAGAAGAATTGACAACTACCCTTCTTCTTGTGTCCAAGCAGGATCCTCACCCGGTAACTGGTCACTCTATCACAGCCTGCGCCAACTTAGCAACTGTTCGGAAACACTTTTTTTTTTATGTTTCCCTTCTTGAGCCCGTCGATGACCCGGCAAGCCTTCACCGTCTTTACACATATAGTGTCGGGGGTGGCGACTGGACCTATCAACCAAACCCAAGCCCTGTTGTCCCAACTATTCAGACAAATAAGACATACGAGCTTGGATGGCGGGCCGATGACCTAGCTGTGATTTCGTCTGCTAAGGGCTAGGCCAACATTGTCGGCATTATGGCACTCTGGCGCGAGATGCGACGATATCTCATTAATGGGCATGCTGCAGTTGACGGACTAGAGATCCTGTTCACGGCGCAATAAGCAATATATTTGGTGATATATCATCTCGCCGATGATTCTCCACATGAACCAGACCGGAGCTTCATGTCATCGTGCCACTGGCCGTGCTAGACTTTGGTAATTCAGACAACTAACAAGTAGATATCCGCATCACGTACCACGTATATATTTCTTCTATATAATAGCCAAAGGCTGGGAAGATTGTCTTCGGTTTCGTAGATAAGCCTCACCTCATCGTACCTGTCTGTTTCAAAATTTGACGAGAGCAGTATCATTGTATCTCACCTTGATGACCAACTTTCTTCTCGTCACATTACTCGTCCAAGCTGCCTCCGTTGTGGCCATACCCCAGGCCGGACACGCCAAATTGACTAGTCGGCAGAGTGTAGATTGCACTTACAGTGTAGCCGCAGGAGCTGGTGCTACATGTGGCTCTATAGCAGGCGCGTTGGAATCAGTGAGTTCGATTTCATCGCCTTGAACCCCAGCGTTACCTGTCGTAGCCTCATGGTTGGACAATAATACTGCGTGTGAGTATCACGACCCAGTCCCTGATTCTTCACAAAGCTCCTGCTAACTCAACGACCAGCCTGCCAGTGTAAAATCAGTCAGCATGACCACATCGACGTCCACTAAGTCATCGACAACCAAGGCCCCCACATCTGATCTCCATTCACCATCACAGTTGGGCTTTGCTAAGAATTGTGAGCAAGCCCTATCTTATGTTCATAAATTGATATTATAACGATCATTGACTTACTCCTCAACGCCGTAGGCAACAAATTCTACAAGTTCACGGGTGGGTACACTTGCAACAAGATAACATCGCAATCTTCCATCTCTTTAGATCAGTTGTGAGTGGACACCATCACCACCTTAAAGTATCCCAACCGCTGTGTATAGATGACTAATTAGACTCTTCTCGCTGGTTACAGCCGAACCTGGAACCCATCGATTAATTCCGGTAAGCCAAGGCAAATCTTAACCCCCGATACTGCTGCGTGATCAACACTTCCTGACCATCACTCTCTTCACAGCCTGCGACAACCTCCTGGTCGACTGCTGGGTCTGCGTTGGTGTCCCCGGCGCCGTGACAGTGCCATCACCATCACCTTCATGCCCGGGGCCATCTCCACCTGCAAGAAATTCCACCTCGTCAAATCGGGCGGCACATGTGGGAAGATCGAAGCACAGTGTGGAATCACGCTGGCTACTTTCCGCAAGTGGAACACGACGGTCAACGCGGACTGCACCGACCTCTTCCTCGGCTATTATGTCTGCGTTGGTGTGTGAGTAAGTCTGCACTGAAGATTTGGGACAACGCATTACGGCAATTCTGCTGTGACTGCATACTTACTGAGATATGGCCATGCTGGAGAAGGGTCGTGATTGAGTTGGTTAATTTAACGTTATGGGGTACGAGTTGCTGCATCTCTGCACTCCCAAGAGGTTACGTATAGTCAAAATCAAGATAATTAAATCATTCAAGTTATTACGTAATTAGTTATTTATAATTCATAAAATTTGCTTAGAATTTAGAGCCTAATTAGCGATGGGTGTTGATACTAATATTCAAGCTGGGTAAGTTTTGCACCTCAGAAAGTACGGTATGTAAATGGCAAAGTGCATTATGGGAGTAGTTTGGATAGTTATGATGTAGATCAGAAGGAGAGGCTGCAAGTTCTAAACTATAGATTAATTTATATATACAGCCACTGATTCAATGGGCGGGTGAAACCTTTGAAGCTCTATTCATCTTTCAAAAGCCCTTCTTAACGAAACAAATGCAGGAGTATTCGTTGAGAGCAACTAGAGTAGAACGGTAACACTTCATGAGCTTCCGAGAATATCTGAATCGAATCATTTTAGCAATTTTACCCCTATTCCAGTGACAAAATTAGTCAAGGCTCATTTTAGGTAGTTATATTCGAGCAGGTACCCATTTGTATTACTTTCAAGCTCCCAAGACGAAGTATCTTGCGTGAATTCCATACGCTCACTATATACCGCTATCCCTTGTACTCAGAAGTGGTAAGCTGGACCGTGATACTTCTAGTTAGGAGCCGCCTGGACTGCGTTAATCACAACATGCCTTTATCGAGTATCGCAATCTCAAGTATAGGGGTTTTCAATGACTCTCATTGTTGCGCGAGCCTTACATGTACAGTAACTATGTTACCTACTGCTGATGCTAAATCCAGAGTACCTTCTTTATATGTTCCCTGTGGCAGGCAGCGACATAATAGACTTGCATGTCTCGTCACGAGAGGCAGGGCTCCTGCTAGAGCTAATTTCCAACAGAAACCGATACCAACGAAGTTCCTTGGAACTAGAGCTCCTCCTGAATACGCTTTTACCTCCTAGAGAGAATCGACGTGGATGAACCCAGTTACTAAGAGGTGCAAGGATGACGAATCCGACGGTCGTATTTCTTGGAAGTTGGCATAGCCTGACGAGGTGTCCGCAGCGTACGTACATACTTATGTACGTCTTCGTACACGGACACGACACGAGGAGGTACCACGGAAAGGACCCGGAAACCAAGACCCTGGATTTATCTTCTGCCGAACCAGCTAGATTTTCGGCAAAGGCAAGGGGAGGATGATATGTTATGCATACCCGCTAGAGCATCCATGTCGTGTTTGGACCCTCTCATTCTTCTTCTTCTGTTGTTTTTGATATCCGTAATTTTCCGCTCGGGATAGATCCGCTATCCATAGCAAGGAAGAACTGCCGTAGATCAGGCACCAGCCGGGTGAATCGGATGATTTTTCTGTTCTTTCAGCACTAGTTTTCGTGCCACCATCCATGCCATGCACGCATGATTTACAATACTTTCGTTGGGGAAAATCGTATTTGTTTATCTAGGTTTGTGAAGAATGGGCAATAGTGCTTGGGACCGGGTGACTGATGTTAGTTAGAAAGGCTGTCGTGTAGATGTTGTTGTAAATAGTACACACTCGTGAGCGCGCGTGTAAATCGTAAAATAGCCCCTGAACCCTCGGAAAGCTTGATGAGATTCTATGAGGTCTTAGGATCACGTGCGCAATCTCATAGACTTGCAAATGTGTATAGGTATACGGTAAGTATGGATCCTAGTATACACAAACTGTATATCTATGGTAACAGGATGATGCCTGTTCGGAGCTGGCAGCTATGCACATTAACGCTTTGCAGCTGAGAGAGTGGCATACCTAATCGGGTTACACATTATACATACGCAGGTGTACATACAAGCTAGACACGTCACAAGATCTTATGACAGCTCAGAGATTGTACGTAATATGTTCATGACAGAGAGAAGAAGTCAGGAGATATGGGGAGTGTAAAGTACTAAGAATAATAGCAAAGTCATGGACAAGGGTAGACAGACGGACTCAAGATAGACAAGCTAACCATTTACTCAACAAGAACGTATGATAAGATGTTAATTAGCAGTTCTCTAAATTATAGGGGGCAAAATAGTAAGCAAGGCTAAAAATGTTAATCTAGTCCCAATTCACCTGACATCATAGAAATCTCGGTTCTGCAGTATACTAATGACCTGTTTCACTATTCCATGGCTATCTATTTAAATCCGATATTCTAACAACCCAGAACAACAGGTAAGCAGAATCCCCATCGGGAACTCAGTAGGCGCATTTAAACCTTGGCCGAATGGAGCCGGGAGTATAGACCCGAGCTATCTACTCAAGTATCATCACGCTGTTCCCATGCGTCAAGACAAGCCATGGCCGGCCACCTACCCTGTACCAAGCCAAACACACAAAGGTCCAATACAGTAGTGCAGCGCAATCCCTCTTCAAGAGGCCAAAAAAAAAAAAAAAATCAAGAACGCCTGCGGCCAGCAATGCAATACAACCATGTTTTCAACAGACCAGAAAAAACAAGAGCGCGTTCTGCAAAGCCGGTAACTGGGGGTCTCAAATCTGTTCGAAAAGGGCCGCCAACCAAAACCAAACATGTACCGCGTCTGCAGGGAAAGACTTGAAACGCTCCAAACTAGCAGCATGCGATCCACGGTGCGGAAACGAAAGGGTCCTCTCTATAGTATGTAAGTAAGCTGGTTGAAAATCTGAATGTTGCGTGTTGGGAAATTGGTAGGTAGATGTACAACTTGCGCGCATACCTTACATTACATTACATATATGTTATGTTATGATCGCTCTGTTTTTTTTTTGGGGGGGGGGGGGGGGGGGGGGGGGGGTGCAATAAAATGAAAAAAAACACACACAAAACAAAAAATTAATTTCTTTGGTGAAAAAAAAATCAAAAAGA